CGCAACTGTGATGATTTGATGAATGTAGGTAGCTTTGAGTTAGCATTAGTCACCAACGCTAAGATAAGCGGGTTCAGTTGGTTTTGTACTTTCTAGCTTAGAGGTAAGTGGTATTCTTAATACACTCATAACTTGAAGAGGTGTGGGGCGTGTTCACTTTCATACAACCTCAACCGTTCATATGAAACGATTGTGTCCAAAAAATATTATAAAGACATTGATTTCGTTTACAAAAATATGAAAATTATTAAAACTTTCAGAAAATTGTACAAACAGCTCCTTAAGCTGGTCATGTTCATTACTTCCCTTTCTTAGATTTTTAAAATTAATATTCTTTGCTGCTCCGTTCGTCGTAATGTACACTTTCAATATCAAACAGTGGATAGCAGACGCGATGACCTTCAAGCATTCCAACTCCATCAAAATGCTGACGGAGTTTTTTTCGCCGAAAGCAACCGACATTTCAGTATCAAAAGCAACAACACCAGCCTTGGCGAACAGTGGGAAAATAACAAATTCGAAGAAAATTCCTCTTTTTACTTTACTTTACTTTAGAATGTACTAACGATTTTGAATTTCATTTCTGCTAAGGTGTAAATGATCACAGACTTATAGATTCCGTTTTTTCACTCAGAATTAGAGAAGCCTTCAAAGTGTATTGTCGGAGACAAATTTTCGCTTCTATCAACACCTAATACTAAAAAGTATTTACCTGCTCCGGCTGAGTTCATTTGCGGCTTATTGGCTTGGTTGCGTGCGAACCAACCTTCTGAGGTAGTGGTCTGAGTTCCTATTGTGCCATAGCTTGGCTGTCCAGTCGCCTGGATAGGCGGATATGCGCCACGGTTTTCCATATTCGCTAAAAGCTTATTGTCGTTCAGTTAAAAATAGATGTAGTAACAAGTAATTATTTGCCAACAGCTTTCTCGTTTAGTCGCGCGCATACTGAGTTCTCGAAGCGGGCGATCAGTATATACATACCGGCTCTGTGGAGTACCCTAAACATTATATTGCGTTATAGCTAGCGTGATTGAGTGATATAAGCTTATTGTACTCATATACTGTCAATCCATGGAATATTTATAATGCATTTTTGTTGTAAATTAATCTCTCCAACATGTCTACTTATCACACTTGCGGGAATCGCAACGAACATACGAGAGTGCAATATATTATGTACAATGCTCGCACAAAGAAAGAGTTTCGTTGTAAGCAGTTGAGCGAATCGCGAGAGTCAAGTGAGAGGCGTTCGTCGAAAGTGTAATAGTTCTACATCACTTTTTATAGCTGGCTATCTCATCTACACACAATCATACAAGTATATTATAAAATGCCGATATGAGACTCTCAAAAAAATCTATCGAGTTTCGTTTATGACTTACTTTGCAAATTAGCAACGACGCTCACATTCACATTCATGCTGATAAATGTAATATACGAGTATGTATATAGCTTTGAGTGTAAATATATTTATGGTAAGTTATGATATTGATACTGATTTTTTTCAAATGATTAGATTGATCCGCGCTTAACTCTAAGTAAATTAAAATATCTCTTATCTGGTCAGTCATATCGTTTTACTTTGACATGCCCAATTAAATTTCAAGTTTCTATGTTTTTTATTTAAAAAAGTAGGGAACCTCGAAATGGATCACCCTTTTTATATACCATAGAAAGGGGTTTTTAATAATAGCGCTAAAAAAGAGCTTGTTTCTTAATAAAACAAAAACGGTTTTTGATATCAATGCAATTCCTGTCAAAGTATATTCGATGCAATTATGTATGGAAATCGATTTTTTTTTGCATAGCCATCACAGGCACGCATGCAAAAATCCAGACGCTGAAGCCAATTTTCAAATTTTTCCATAAATCGGCGATACTGTTGCAATTTCACTTCCTATATTCGTACGAAGTTCATCAATCGTCGCTGGCTTATTGGCATAGACCATTGACTTGACGCAGCCCTACAGGAAATAGTCTAACGGTATCAGATCGCGCGACCGAAACAGCTAATTTAAGTTATGATCAGCCCATATTATAATTTTCGGAAAGGATTACTTTCTAAAATGAAGTCTGGGTGCTACTTTACCTAGTTTAATATAAAGATTTACCTACACCTGAAGGTTTTTCCCAAAGCGGAGAACATTCCCGTTACAATTGGGAGTTCCTATTTGAAGAAACTTCCACAGAGGTGTTCAAGAACCTATTTTGAGACTATCAAAGGGGAAAAATATATTGTTCTTTTGCTTTTTTGTTGATCCACCCGAATAGTATATATGTATATTAGTAAATTGCAGAATTTCTCTCTTTTATTGATTAATTTTTATTTGAATTCATTGCAGTATCCCTTACAATCTACACTTAAAACTATGAGACATTTACAGTTAGGTAATTATTTTTCGTTTATTACATTAATGTAGTGAATCTATTATTACTTAGCATATACATACATATAAACAGTTGTCCAATACACCCTTCACAAACATATTTTTGCAGGTGAACATATCTGGCTCTCAAGTTACAAATCTAGGCCTTAAGAAATAAGTTTTACAACATGTCCTTCTCTTCAATATAGTAGCTTAACTTTAATTTACCCATACCCTTCCAGGTATTTGCAGTTAAATACATTTATATTTGCTTACGTTGAGAAAAATATTCTGTTTCTGACTAATACTTTTATTTACAGATCCTGCTCAGTGGAGAATACAACTACTTATTAGAAACTAGGAGGATAGCGGCATACTACATGTATAAAAACACTTATAAATATATTTAACCACACTACAATGGATATATGATAACTAGCATTCAACAGGTTAATGGATTGAATTCATAACACTTTCAATAAAAATACTTTTTTTTGAAAACTTACGTAAATGAATTTAAAGATAACTCTAAACTTGTCGCGGTAATGAAATATATTTGGTTGTCAAAGTCTCATCATTTTCTTAGTCTCTATCATCGTGTACCGTTAATAAACGTTTAACTATATTCAAAAATGTACTGATGGCTGAAGAAGACAAGAAGATTACCGAGAGGAAATTTTAGCCAGTATTCGAAAAGGAACAAGCATGTTAGTGACAACAATTTTACAACATAAACCTGCTTTAAGGACTTTCATAACCAACCCTAACGACTACTGTTGTCTCAATTGTAAAGGTGTTCTCCCTTTGTGATCTTCTCTGCACAGAGTACACCGAATACTTCGTTAATGTTCAACGAACTAGAGGTCTACTTCAATAACGATCGATAACGAGACCATAACAACTAGATGAACTTAGAAGAAGATACTGTTAAGCTGTTGGAAGCAAAAAGATAAATATTACTCATGACGTAAGAAAGCAATTAACTTCCGTTGCACAGAAGATAGAATACCCTTCCTAATAAATATGTACATTTTTGTACAAGAACTTGATTCCGATCGATCAGTTTGTATGCTGAACGGTTTTTTGGAGACTGTATTCTTCTTCTTTCTTGGCGTAGATACCGCTGTCGCGGTTATAGTCAGATCCTTCTCCACCTGTTTTTTCTAATGGAGTGGAGGAGGAGGACTGCGGTATTTGCAAAGGACCATAAACATTCCGCAGAAGCTTTCTCTAAAAAACTCGTATCTTTCTTCGTCGAGAGACTACTTTACTTTTCAATTGCCTTCTCAGTCCGGTTGGTATTGTTGGTGTTAATGTCGGTTATAATTATCTACGACTTCGAAGTTTTGACTGTCAACAGTGACGTGGGAGCCAAGTGCGACGATTATTTGTTTGCTGACAAGAGATATTTCGTTTTGCCCTCGTTCACCACCACACCCATTTATTTTGCTTCCTTATGCAGTCTGGAGAAAGTAGAAGTAACGGCGCGTTTGTTGAGGCCTATAATATCAATATCATCGGTGTACGCCAGCTGCTGTACACTCTCATAGAAGATGGTACTTCTGCAGCTCGAACAGAAGATTGAAGAAGTCGCACGTCACTAATTCGCCTAAAGATCGTTTGGTATACAAATGGCTCGGAGAGGTTCTTCTGGTAGCTGATGGGGCCTTTGTATTGCTCAACGTCAGTTTAAACAGCCGTATTAGACTTATTACTATTTGGATTGCATTATTGCCTTATAGAATGAGCCATATTAAATTTCATGAGTATATCTCGTCAAATAAAAAATATTCCAGCGTGCACTTAATTCCTATTGCTCAGGTTGTATGGCAGCTATATGCTATAATGGTCCCATATCATTCCTAATTCCTTCTAGGTGTTACAAACTTCGTGGCAAACTTAATGCACCCTGTTCATGTAAAAAATAATAGGCTACAAATTAGTAGGACAGCGAGGCGTCGTGAATTCTTAAAGAGATTGTTATGAGTTCAAAAACCTAAATAGAGACACATAAAGCTAGCCCCGTTATGAAAAAAAACTAAAACTATCTTAATTTTGATTTATGGTTTCTTAAATGTAAATCATTGCATCTTCGGAAGAGCTCGGCCTTCTTACAACCATGAAATCGTATAAATATATACATACTTACAAGCGACATACGGAAATATATGTACACATTTATCGCTAGTTACTGCTTACTTCGCAACAAATTATGAATAGTTCTAATTTGTTTATACAGATTTAGTTAAATACGTATTTGAAGATATTTTATACCTTTCAAAACATTTTTAGTCTGATAACTTTTAATTAAACTATTTCATTACTGACATTACATCCTAATTACCGTCAGGCGTTCGGCTGCTTACTCAAATGCTTATGTTTTATGAATTTGTTTTTGTTTTTGTTTACTTTGAGCATGGCTAATTCTCCTACATAGATAAAATATACGCACATGCGCATACATACATACTTCGTAATTAGCCGACCAAAGTTTTATAAATTTCAGTACTTGAACTGTTTAGAGTACTTGTGGTCGCATGCGCCCAGTCACCATTGCCGTCGCGCCACCACACATCCATATCTGTCTCTTATACACATCTAGATGTGTATAAGAGACAGCGCATACATACATACTTCGTAATTAGCCGACCAAAGTTTTATAAATTTCAGTACTTGAACTGTTTAGAGTACTTGTGGTCGCATGCGCCCAGTCACCATTGCCGTCGCGCCACCACACATCCATATGAACGGCTGAGGTTAACGCCTTCCGCTGGTGCCTTCCACCAGCCGACTGCATGCTACTCACCCGCTCTAGTGTTTGTGGTGTGCGGGGCCTTGGCCCCCCTGTCGATTAGTTCATCACCGCGCAGTTGATGACGTTTTCGCAAGGGCGTCAAAGTTCACTGCTTGCGCCGCGCTTTGACGTTGCATTTGGTCTGGTTGTCGGTGGCGCTGCGTCAGCTGTTCGGTGGAAGGCGCCGCTATGCTGTCAACGGTTGTCACATTGTTGCAACGCAACAACGCCAACGCAAGCAGTACGAGAATACTGCTGCCAATTTCTGAATGCTGATATTCTCGTTGTTGTGGTTGCTGTTGTCGATGTCGTGGCTGTGGCCTTTGCTGTTGCTGGAGTGGCAAATGCTGAGCGCTGCTATGCGCACGACTGGAAGTGCGGCTGGGGTTGGGGCCACGGCGTGGGTTCAGCGCTGCTACACGCGTACGTTGTTTGCTTTGATCGTTGTTGTTGTGTTCGGTTATATGGCCGGCATTCTTGCAGAGAAATGTGTATATTTGCAGTAGAACGAAAGCGCCGACTAAAGCGCTGATTAGCTTGTTCGGCTGGGCGGCGGCGCTGTGTCGAGCTGTGGGTGCCGAGTTGGTTTGCATCGCCTCTGGTCGCTCACCTGAAAGTGCATAAAATCAGTTAGACGTCTGGCTAATGAAATCGAAGTAGAGTAGAGGGGAAATTGGTGAAACAATACGTGTTTTTGTTTTTTGGTTGTTTTTTAATTTACACATGCGACGTCATATTAGCGCGAATGGCTGACAAAGAGATCTCAGCGTAGGAGTAAACGATTCAAGAATCTCTCACGTTGAAATGACACAAGGATTGAGCTAAGCGAGGGCTTAAGTTAAGCCTAGTCTGTCACCTCTTCGCATACACAGTTACATCTGTACTTACATAAATGTGTACAGCTTGAAGCTAACGGACTTTTGTTAAACGAAACTTCAGGCATAATACTCGCATTAACGATGGTAAACATGTAGAGAAGCAAAGGCGGTAGGCTCAGTCGGAATATGTACGCACATGTGCACACTTATCTGCCGATTTCCTGTAATCTCTTTTTCTAAGCCTTCCAAATTTAAAATTGATTTCGTATTTTGAGGCGATTTAAAWATAAGTATGCCTAAACCCTTTGCCTGAAAACAAGAGTGTGGTCTTTCGTTCAGAGAAAGCCACCCTAAAATGTGTTCCTTATTTCGCATTAACCTCATTTTTAGGTGACGTTGCAGATATATATAGCTCAGAGTATCTTAAACAGTACAATAGCAATAAATATCCTTATGGGAAGGTCATAAGACTGTGCAACGCCGTATAACCCTCAAACGAAGCCATCGAAACTTATTGAACTACGGTGTTCGCGTCATTTTATGTGAAAAATTTGAAGAGATATCTCTTCCACTATTACAGCCCTCACATAGTAAATCTAGTATAAATCTAGTTTTATTATTACCTTTAAGTGATGATGCGTTCTTTTCAGGATATCATTTTAATACATAAAACGGGTCTGAGGTTGAGCACGGAGAAAACGGATCTGCTTGTGTTCACAAGAAAGCACAAAAACCTCCATGGAGGTTCTCTTCGATAAATGGGACACAGCTCTTTCTAAAGACAGTACCATGTAATTTCGGTTAGTTTTGAACAGCAAAATTCTGTGGGGGCAAAACGTGGAGGAAAAAGTGATTAAAGCTAGCAATGTTTTATAAGCTGCCGCCTATAGACCTCCACGTTGAAAACTGTGCGGCAAGCACAGCGGGACGTCTACAGAATGCACGAGAATTTAAATATATTTGGAATCTTCGGGCATAGCTCGGGGGTAATAACGGTTGAGCAAACAGCAGAGTCAACATCTACGTAGACAGTCAAGCAGCCAACAAGGCAGGATACTCGTATCGCATATCGTCAGAAGTGACTTGAGAAGCAGGTCGGCAGTGGAAAATGTTGCAAGAAGTAAGCAAATTCACTTCTGCTGGGTTTCAGGTCACAAAGGCATCGAGGGGTTTGAAATAATGGACGAGATTGCAAAGAATGATGTACGGCTAACACCCCTAAACGTTATCAACATTGGAAAATCTAGGCAATAACTACACGAACGTATTGACTGAAGCATGCTAAAGAAAATCCAGCCTCGATGGAACGAGATATAATGGTGCAAAACTGCCAAAGTCATGTGCGAAACGGACAATCGGAAGTACACAGAATTCCTATTGGCACTTGATAGAAGAGACTATAGGAGCATGATGGGAATACTAACTGGTCACTATTTGATGGCGACTCATGCCCGCGATATGGGGCTGACCGATCGAAAAGGCTAAAGGAAACTATTTTCACGATGCCTGAAATAGGGCACCAGGTGAACAATGGAGCCACTGTGGTGCACTTGTCCCGCATTGGCAAGAATACGCTGTAATCATCTGGGTTCCCCAAGGTATGATACACTGGAAATGGAATCGATACTGAGGCTGAGCCGTAGAGGATGTTAAAATTTGATCAAGCTCAGGCGTATTACTCCTCTTGGTCCTTGAAACTGGTCCTTGGACCTCTGGTATCTCAAAGAACCGAAACTCGTCTATGCGTGGGTTATATGCCTATCAGATTAACCTAACCTAATACATCATTTCATATCGGATTGAAATTTATTTATAGAAATGATAATAAATCCGCTTTGAGTACATACCCTGTAACACGTGGACCCGCAAGCTCGCTATCTCGGTGTTCGATGGGTAGCAAGAATATTTGCCCGAATCTAGTAGATCAGCATCACTAATTAGTAGAATGGATTTCGTTTCTTCAGATTTGATCGTTTTGAATTTTATGCGACCTCCAGACGTTTCTTCTGATAGCACCTGTAGGAGAAAAAAGTAAGAATAAATAATATATTGTTTTCACGAATATGGATTTTCTCCATACAATATATATGTACATTATAATATTTTTGCTTTTCATTGACACCGGCGTAACCACAAATGCATTTATTGTAAATGTGCAAATCGGTTAGTTAGTTGGCTTTGTCGTGAAAATGAGAATTTCAATTTTGGCATATAATATTAGCAATCCTTTCCCTTCCTATAAACATTATCAATACCGTTCGGAAGCACTTCAGCACCTTTACATGCGCTTCCACATTCTTGCAAGTCTCTTTCATTATCTCCTTTTATACGCTTATCCGCGAACAGAAGCCTTATTTCCATAGTGGGAGTTTCTTTTCCAAGTACAACTCGCCACCCAATTTTTTCGCCCTAACACTGCTAGGCGTCAGTTTGCTAACTGAAAATTGTCATTTCGACAATGGGGGAATATTTCGTTCCTTTCCCATTCTCTAGAAGGGTTAAGTTATAGCTGGGAAGCGTGTTGAATGTTAAACGAATAACAGAAGAAAGTAACCATTGTTGTAAGCTTCGACTAGGGGTTAGGTCCCGCTAACCACATGTTATCTTTCACAAACTACTTCCACGATTTGAACTGCATTCGGCGAGTAAGATTTACCATATTCTCTCTTCACACAGGTTCAAAAGCGATTGTTCCTTTAGGCCACAACTAGTTGACTTTGGTCGTTTTCCGCTACGAGTTCGTACAAATTTCGACGTATCCGAACTGAGCCCTCCCTACTTGTTTTCCTTTACTTTTGTGATTTTTTCTTTTGAATACCTCGTTGTGTATGCTTTATTTCTATTCAAGCTTTTGGTTCAGTCAGCACAACAAATGCGATAGGATCTGCTTTTAAAGTAGATTTCCTTGATCGCCCCGCAAACCACTTGCACCGCTTTACAAGTTTTGGTGCTGTTTCATGTCTTCCATTGCATGTGGCAATTGCAAGTGGCACGCTCGTTAAATCTGAGGCACGCTCCAGGCGTGCAACGTTTATGTCCTGAGCATGCAGGCGTCGCCGCGTATCAATTGCCACGCTGCCACTAATACAATTTTAAACGAAAATCACCGCCAGCTCTCAGGCGACGATTTTCCTGCATTCTTCGCACACGGAAGTGGGCGTTCATTGTACGAAACATACAAACATACGCTGCCTTTGATGGCAGCGAGAGCGTGGCTCCGAAGAGTTCGACGGGCACCGTCGGTGCACATTGCATGCTGCTGTCCGCTTCGACGATAACAAATGAACTGGTTATGTTTGTATGTGATGTTCGATAAAGAATTGCCGCGATAAAAGTTTTTAAAACTGGTTACATGTTTGTTCCCACGCAGCCGAGCACACGCTGCGCCGCGACGCGCCGCTACGCTAGGTTCGTACGGTTTTACTTCAGCGCTCCGCCGCCAGTGCGGTACTTGAACTTGATAATTTATTGGAGAAATTTTTTTGGTAGCGTGCCAACATGAAAACTATGCGTTCGATGTGAGTGAGTGCGCGAGTGTGTGTGTGTGTGTGAACAGGCAGCGATTCACCACTTTTGGCAAATATTTTGTGTCGAACATAAGACCCCGTCGAATAGTGAGCGTTAAGTAAATATGCGGCAATATGCTTCGCCTCCTCTTGGCTGTGAAGCTCCTTAATTAACTCCGCTGAGTTCGCCTTCCGTGAGGTTCATTTGGCTGCTGCAATGTTTTAAGGCTCATGCAAGCCTCACATGTAGCCAATAAATTTTGAAATTTTGTAGTCTTTAATTATTTATTCTTTCATTGCATCGGCACTCAAGCATCGTTTTTTGTGACCAGAAATTACAAAAGCTGGAGCAAGTCTTCAATTTGTGAAACTTCTACTGTCTGCTTGTTAAAAGGAATTTGTATGTACATATGTGCAATGTACTTACCTTGTCTTGATGATACCAGAAGATGTGCGTCGGTGGCTCGGGGCTGAACTTTATTACACAAGTCAGGTTGATAGTGCTCCCTTTATCCACGTACAGGTCGGGACCACCCAGTATGCTTGCTGTTGGCACTGTTAACGGTCGGGAGGGAGGCGTGCGGGAAGGCGTCATACCATAAAGAGAAAGACAAATTAATATTCGAGTTAGTGATTATTGTGCATTCATGCAAAACACGGGTAGTTTAGTATGTAACGTAGTACAGATAGGCAGCAAGCACTATTTCCGGTTGTATGCCTCCGCACTACAACAGATAAATTTCATTTGGTCTAATAGCTATACAGCTGCAGCAGCAGCGCCTATTGCCTAGTTTAGTAGTGCAACAACAACTGGCGGATGTTTAGTAAGAGTTCCAACACAACAATAACAACAAAAACAACAACAGAATTTCGACTATTCCTTTAACTGGCATAAAGCGCATTACTTATGAAGCCGAGCGAGCAGCATATGTTTCTGGTATTTTATGAAGACATGTGTCTGTCGCTCTTACGCTCTTACTTGTGCAGTTAGGAAAAAGCTTTAGTGAAGTTATTGTTAGCTGATAATATGGGGGATTTCGCATGCAGTTATTTTACTTAATTTAGCAGCTTTTACTTATTAATGTGTGTGTATAAATGTCCAACTCTGCTTTGCTGAAATTTACTTTCTTCCTAACTTCCTTTACTTTTTACATCTACTGATTTTTGTTCTTACTTAAATTTTTTTTTTTTTCAAGTTTTGTCTAAGAAAGAGTTGCACTTGTGCGATGAGAATTTGTAAGAGCAAATTTTTCTACTTATTCCGAAGTCCACTTCGATGAGGATAAATTCACTTTTATGTACCGAGACCAGGTTAGGAACAAGTGCAAATATAATTTAATTTTCTACAATATAAGATGTATCCTGCAACCTAACACCATATTCAACTCTGGTTTAAATATAACTACGACACTTATATCTTAAAGCAAGTAGGATTCTACAAAAGGCGCTAAGAATGTCCTAAAACGAAGCTGTGAGTGGAACATCATGACTGCCACTATTATAATAGCAGCTGGTGTTTGTCAAATCAATGATCGACTGTAATAAAGCGTAATTATTAACTGTCTTATTCACCTTACTTTGATACCCAATATCGTAAAGTTAGCATTTGATCTGATATTTTAATATGCCACTAAAGCATAGTCTTCATTTAGTACTGATTTTATGGCTGACACATAAACGTTTTACTGCCAGATTTTATGCTTCACCAGTGATTAATTCGGACAAGTAAAATCCCTGTACTCTATACTCTTACATTCAAACTATGTGGCAAAATAGAAACTGAGCTGTTCGTGTGTACAAATAACGGGTTTTTCAAAAGGGTCGCTACAAAAGTAGACCGATGGGTATATTTTTCCCACTCTTTGGACATTTCTCTTCAGTAAGGTTTGGCATTTCATCCTGGGAATATTCAACAATTTGTCGACATTATTAAAATTTCTCACCGAAATACGGAGTCAGTGGCGTCAACTTTAATAACGCTTCTTCCAATTTATGGTTATCAAAATCTAGTAGAAAAATTTTAATCCACAGGCACAGTGTAAAATATTCCCATACCAGTAAGACCAAGAAGTGCAAGTGGTAAGTCGAGAATATTGCTGCCGCTAGCGGATCAATTGAGGAAGACCCAAATCAGTTTCTCACACGTTGTTCTCAATCGTTGAACATCTCTGTGATGTCTTTGTGGCGAATTCTGCGAAAAAACTTGGCCTAAGCCTTAGAAGATCAAGTTAATGCAAGATCTGAAGCCGGTTGACCACTAGAATCGTCGTATGTTCGCGAATTGATCAACATCGAAAAATCTTCTTCGGCGATGAGGCTCTCTTGTGGCTTCGTCAATAAGAAAAATATGCATTATTGATCATGCAGCAAACGGTCATGACCAAGACCCACAAGTTACTGTGAATGGGAGTCACCTCAATGGTAACTGACAATTTTTTTTTTGCCTGAGTTTGATGATGTGGACTTGGACAATATGTGGTTCCAACAGGATGGGGCCATAGGCCACACAGCAAATAGCATAATCGGTTTATTGTATACAAAATTTGGTAAACGTGTTATCTCACAAAATTGCTGAGTCAATTGGTCGCTTTGGTCGTGCGATTTGACGTCGTTAACAGAACGTTAACAGAAAAAAATGCTTTTTTCGGCACAATCTATTTATTTCATTCAATATAGTCTCTTTCTACTTCAATAGAACTTTTAGCACAGTCCAAAATCATGTCGAACGAGTGTTTCAACTCGTTGACCGGTATGGCTGCCAGTATGCCGGTGCAAACCTTTTGAATGACCTCAACGTCTGCATAACGATTTCCTTTCAAGGGGAAATGCATTTTTCCGAAAAGAAAAAAGTCGCACGGTGCTAAATCACGTCAATACGGGGAGTGGTTTTGATCAAATCTACCTCTTTAATGCTGTCCCTCGAATGTTGGATTCTGAGCAATTTTTGGTCGTCAGTCAATTTGTGCGGAACAAACCGTGCACACACCTTTCGTAAGACCAAATGTTCGGCAAAAATGCGATAAATCGATGTTTCGGAGATGTTCAATTCCATTTCCATGAATTTCAATGATAATTTCGGCTGATTTTTGATGAATTCGCGCTGTATAAACTTGTTTCGTCAATTGAAACGCTTCGGTAAAAGGTTTACCAATTTTCAAACAAAATCTAATGTTGGCACCAATAACAAATATACTGACACTTAAAACGCAATAACTTCACTTCCAATCTATTAAATATCATGACATTCTCACTGGACAATAAATGTAGCAGACACTAACACAACAGTCGACATATAGATGGCGCCACCAGTGGGCGCTAGATTCAAAAAGTCCGGTTTACTTTGGAACCCACCTTGTATTTCCTTTGGGGCTATGTCTGGTCTATAGTCTATGTCAATAATCTAGCAACAATTGATGAACTTCGTAGGAATATCGAAAGTGAAATTACAATAGACCAGCGGATATATGCTTGAAAACCGTTATTAATTAGGTGCGGTATCTGGACTTATACAAGCGCGCCTGTGCTGACCATGCAAAAGAAATCCAGTTCCATACATAAGGGCATCGAATATATATTCTTAGGAATAAAGAATTTTTTTTATTTAAATTTTTATTTTTTATTTTGAAAACTTTTGTAGCGCTCTTATTGAAAAATCTGTTACAAGGAGAACCTTGTAATCGCAGTTTCCTACTAAAACCGAAAAAATAAATTCTCTTCTACCCAGCACCTTATATTTATTCAACTATTCTTGTTTATTAACGGTACTTATTTGCAGATGCCTGCAGGCCAATTAGTTGGATCTTACTTCTAACGACCACACCCACAGCTTAACAACAATTCGATTATATATATTTAACGTGCATTTCCCACCATTATCTATGACTACTGTTATTATTGAAGCAAACGCATAATTTGTTAACCTAACAGATAGCCTTACGCTTGCCAATATCAATTTAATTAACCTGATACAATTTAATAACATACATTTTATTATACTTAAAAAGGCCCCACCAATGCGCCACTTTGTGTGTGGAGCATTGAAATTTTCGTTGTCTAGAAAACTGTTTCCTACTAAGCAATGCCAAGCAAAATGCTTGTATACTTTGTGTATGCCACCGCAAGTAGCCTGGACGTATACGCAACTTTATTTATGTTGCTTGCAAGAGGGCGTTTCTCAATATCTTCTCTGCAACACGGGCTGTTTAATGCTGCAAAAGCAATTTTATTTCATTGTTTACACACTCGCTCCAAGCAGTATTTATCGGCTGTTCCTTTTCAGCGCTCCTCTTGGCCCCACACCACTTTGGAAAAGATATAGGAATACCCGACAGCCACATATACTGATTGCTGAGCGACGTGACTTGTCGCTAGTTGACGACACCTCAAGAATGTGAGAGTGGAGGTATGGTCTAGTTCCGTGACTGATCATCTGCTGATTGCTTCGAAGTGCATTTGTGTGGTAAATGCAAATAAAAGGCGAAACCGTTATTTGTAAGACGTTCTATTCCGGCGTAATTGTTAGTTGCTGTATCAGAGGTTGTCTGATTCCACAAAACCCCAAAGATATATGTGTATTTGGCTAGGTCTTCTCCACATTTCCTGGCATGTATCAAAAACTTGATAAACTTTTACAGAACAATAAGTACGCAAAATCAAAATAACAACGTTGTTAACTGGGAAAAGGTTGAAAAACAAAGGCTGAACAACAAAAGTGGCGATAAAACGTAGCAGCGTTGGCGTTGCCACTTGCGAACCGTAACTGCTTAGCGACGGCGGCCGTAAAAAACTTGTAAAATTGTAGTAACTTTTTGCCAACTGCCAACTGCCAGCTGCGGGGCGAGGCTCCGTTGCCAACAAAACAACAGCGGAAAGCGAATACGCCTCAGGTTTGACTCGGCTCTGCACAATTTGCAAACAGTGCGCGAAATGCCTGGTTCGGCTGTGTGCTTTATAATTTTCTGCCAGCCACAATAAACACCACCTACAGCTCGGTTGTGCGAAAGGGGCGGGACGGCTCTGCTGTTATCAAAATGTTTAAATGCTTGTGAACGCACTTTCGCCCAAGGCAACGCTTAACTTGGTGATATGTGCGCCCAGATGTACATGTACGTGTACATACAATATCAAGCATACAAGCACAATTATGCTCTGCAAGGCATAGTTGGTGTTATCACCGGCCTTGTTTGTGGCACTAGACTTTGTGTGGCACGTTATCTAAACGAGCTCCACCGATTTGGTTGGCATTTACATTCGCCATGTGAGAAATTTTTGCACCATTCGCTTTCACGCCTTTTCCACTTCCCGTTGAACGGCCAGTTTTACTGTTCATTTAAAGTGCCGTGAAAAACGCGGAAATTCTGAAGGCAAACCAAATCTCATGGTGACCTTGAGTGCACTTTCAAGGAGTGTGAGAGTGCAGGGAATACTGCGCGAGAGTTTTTTTCTTGATTCGGCATAAAATCACCTGTCGGTTTTTTGGACAAACCCAATTATTCTAGAGGCAAATCTTAAGTTAAAATACTTACTAACTGCTTCAAGTTAGAGCGGTGCTCGTCAAACAAAATGCAAAACAACGTATCATCAAACAAACCGAATCTCACGACTAATTACATTATATCACATGTTTTGCTTCCGCTCTCAGATATAACCTAAATAAAACCAATATATAGCCATTTCATAACCAATATATAAGCATTTTATAACCAATATATAACCATTTTATAACTAAAACTCAAATTTTGTTTTACTATGAGTGGTTTCTACTATATCACTTTCCCATCGCCTGTAAATCTTTAAAAAAGTGATGTTACGTTATTTTGCACTATAGGCGACGATTTATAGCAATTTTTGGTTCATTATTTGAGACTGCAAACCAAGCTTTGTTTTTTGTATTTCCTATTGGCAATCCATAAGTAATGCTTAACGGCAGCAAAATTGTCAAGCAGTGGTGAAGTATTGAAAGTGCCGAACGAATAAAAGAATCAGTCGCTAAACATATAACCAAGACCTTGTTTAATTCGGCTCACAGTCCCTTGACTTGTGACTAACTTACTGCCTTCAGTTACATAGTTTTTTAAATAATAAGTAATTTTCTCCCGAAAAGCGCTGAGTTCCTAGTGCCAAGCTCTGCTCAAATTCATTACGTTCTTCCTTCTTTAAATTTATGCGCTGACAGTTTTTGGTCATTAAAATCTCATTATCTGCGCTTGCTATTGTTTTGAATACCAAATGTATGTGTTTGTGCATGTGTATATGTATGGCAGGGCGTGTATTACATGAAAAGTGTGGATTAAATATATTCAGTTGAAAGAAGTGTGAAAAGTAAGACTGTACTGCAGCTGCTGGTGTGCACGACGCTCCTTTTGCTGAGCAGCTTGGCCATTTTATTACAAATAAATTTGATTTTGCATATGATTCGCACTGATAACGGAAGCGGCTGTGCAGCCGTTCACACTCGACTAATGTTGCAGCAAATTTGATACAGGATCAAGACGGTTTTATGCAGCCGACAACACAGAATTATGTTTGATTGCAATTGTCTACCGATTACTCATACCCGACGTACGCCTCGATGCACAGCTTGTACAGCGTCATGTAGCTGGCAGTCGCCCATGCAGCGAGTGCATTGTACCCACTGGGGCCCTTTCCGTGGGGAATCGGCATAATTAGATGTTAATTTGCTGCCGACTAACACACTTGCACCTGCACAAGGATCCTCTCAGCAGCACATCCGTTGCAGCTGCCGTGACAATCATTCGCAGCAACGAGCGGCGCTCAACAACACACAACAACAAACACGCAGCAGCTGCTCGGCGGCACATGTTCGTCCTCATAATTAATTTTTGCTTAACAAGTGGCAGCGCCGACATGGAGAGCGTCAGCGTTGGCAGTGCTGCTGAGCATATCAGTTTCAAACTTTGTCCTGCAAGTGACTGCATCTATTGCTGCATTTAAGCGAGTGGCATGAAAATAAGCACTATTTTGCGTCCTTATTAGTTTCCAACGTTTTGTTTAATTTGATTACAAGTGTAAAAAGTTTTAATTCGCTTTTCACTGTGCTCAAACGTAGTGAGTGAATAATTTAATTGAAATTGTACAATCCATTTTTTATTGGCTGGCTAATTATAATGCTATAACGGTAATTAGGATGAAGTCGAATTACCAGCAGTCCACTGTGTCATCGGAAGTGTTGGGTATGGGTAAGTGCGGCATAATTACAGTTACATTTCGATTAGCAAATACTGGCAGTGCTCGCAGCTTATCACCATCAAGCACATTTATAAAAGGTTATGCGGCAACAAATGATTCCACACATAAATTTGACTCTTTCATTCGACAAAACTTTGCCCAAACACTAAGAAAATGACAAGTGCAAATGCCTTTGCCAAACTGAGCTCATACACAAATATCCGTCGAAATTACTGTAATCAAATCTCTTCCAAATGCAAACTTGGAAAGGCAAATAATAAGCGACTCTGTTGACTTTCGTGTAACTTGTTAAAGCGCTTAGCACTGTCAAAATTGCCAACTTATGTCGAGTAGCTGCTTACTTACACACATGGCTGTTACGCAATGATTTTCGTTACTCAACAATGCATTGTAATTGTAATGAAAATTTCCTCCCTCCGCTGAAGCTATAAATTTATATAATTATTAATTACATTGTCCCAGGCAAAAGTGGCAGCTTAGTTTCAAGTAGAGTGTGAGCGGAGGTAGAACTGCATAGATATGCCATACAGACATTTAGACGATTATGTAACTAAGGAGTGTTGAAATTGTACATCCTTTGGAAGACGGACTCTCTATAGGGTGATCCATTTCAAGGTTGCACAAAATCTTCAAATTTAACTAACTTTTTTTTGTATTCATTTTTTGAAGATCATCTCTTTTAAATGTTGGCCACGGCCATGTCTTAGATGGTCCAATTTTCGAAGACTCGTTCGCTGATTTCGACGATTAACTGGTGAATGTGGTGTTTTACTCGATATGACACGATTTTTAAGGTTAATCGACCGGCTCAAAACGTGAGATTATCTGCTCACGGAAGCGTTTCCTCAATAAATCCGTTGATTGATGTGATGTATGGGAAGTAGCGCTATCTTGTTGAAACCAAATACCACCGAGACCACGAGCTTTAATTTCAGGCATCAGATAGTCGGTTATCATGGCGTTATAACGGTTACCATTGATGATTACGTTCTCACAAGCATCATTTTTGAAGAAATGTGGACCGATGATTCCACCGGCTCATATGCCATGCCAAATCGTTTATTTTTTCTGTATAAAATGCTAGCTCTTGAATCTCTTTAGGTTGGGATCATCCCAAATGGGTAAATTTTGCCTGTTTTCATATCGTTTGAGCCAGAAAAAGGCCTCATTTCTAGGAGCTTTTCAAGTGCTCATAGAACGAGCGATGTCGCTTGAGAAGTTCGAAAGACTTCAATTTAAGATCTCGACGTATATTGCTCCATGCCGTTACATACCTCAGTCCGAGGAAAGGAGGAAAAAGGAGTTCTGGATCACCCGTAAATTACATTTGCGGCATGATTTCGGCTTTCGCCTCTTTTATGCAAATGTATGTGCTTAAATAAGTATGCTCTTTCGTTCTGGGAAAGCCTTGTGATGGTGTGTGTGTGTTTGCTTTCAATATAATTAGAACTAAAAATAAGCACTAGCAGTTTTGCTACTTCACTTTTGTTGGCGTTGCAAATAAAACGGGAAAATCTAGTCATCCGTGTGCTAGCGCGTGAGTGTTGGTGTATGTGTGTCTGTGTACAATATGGCAGTTCTACAGTTTCACAACTTTAAGTATGACTGCAAATTCAAGTAGTGGCGTGAAAGCATACACACACACAGTCAGAGTGCGGAGTGTATCTAATACGGCTGGAACCGGAACAGATACGTATACAGGGCAAGCCGTGAAAGAACTCTTTACTACACAAGTATTGCTTGCCGGCACTTAGACCAAATCTGAGGGTGTTGGGTTCAAACAGATCAAATATTACGTCTTAAAAAGGTTTTTCGAGGAGCTGATCTCAAATGAAAAACAAATTGGTAAATGTAGAAATGCTTTCACAAAATAGTTATAATTTATTGCACTGTGGACTGGGTTCGAAACCACATTAGCATTTAGAAAAAGTAATGACCATTTATCATTCAAGTTCAAAAGAGTAAAAAACAGTATTTTGGATTGTGGTAACTGCTTGCTATTGTAGGCAAAAAAAATCTTTGGAATTTCTTGAAAGCGGTTTGAAACTCTCAAATTGCATCACCTGGTCGATATCGTCACCTAAAACTCTAAATAACTTAACATAACTTTTTTATAAGATTAAAGGCGATAAAGAAAAAAAAACGATAATTGAAACCACTCACATTGAAACAAAATTTGAGGTTTGTTTATATATTGGTTATATTTCGGTTATGTGTAGGTTATATATTGGTTGTATCTAGCGGAAGCTGAAACCACTTATATTGAAACAAAACTTTAGTTTTGGTTATATTTTCGTTATATATTGGTTATATGTTGGTTATGTGTTGGTTATATATTGGTTATTTATTGGTTACATCGGTAACCAATAATGTGATTTACTGAATCGCAAGCAATAAAAAAAATTATTTACGAGTTCTTTGATAATACGTCTTTTTGCATTTTAGGTGACGATATGTATATACTTTAATTTCTTACTATACTAATTTAATTAATGCGTTCAAGGGTTTCAACACAGCGATTCGATAAGACTTCATGTTAACACTTATAAAACTGGTCTGAATCAGTTACGCTTCACTTAATTCGTATATTTATTTTAAAATGGAGTATATTATCATTATTAAACTAACAAAAATTTGGAAAATGTAATTTAAAAAGATTTATAAATTCCGGCTGTAGAACTGCCCTAAAGAAGCTCTCACACCAACTGTGCTTAGTGCACATACTTGAGGAGTATTTACACAAGAGTGACTCAAACACTCCGAACCCATTGACGCCGGAGCGACTGTACAAGCTGCAGTGCCGGGAAGCCCCACTCAATTTGAAGATAAGTCAACAAATGCCGCCAGTGCTCCACAAACACACTCGTTTGCACGACTGTTTGCACAAGTGCTCAAATATGTGTGAGTGTGGTGGCAAATGCAGCACGACATCATTTAGGCGCACTCACCCACACACACACACCCACACAGTATTTATGTGAAGAAAAGTTAGTGAAGGTGGACGTGTTTTTTGGTGTTCTGGAATATTTGCAAGATTTTGTAGTTTTAAAGTGATAGCAATCTTGTTCGTGTTTGAGACTTACCGGGAGACTGGAACTGGACTTTTAATCGATTGGATGCTAATACCAAAAACTAGATAAGTACTTTGATTTAGTTCAATTAGAATTTATTTGGCACTTACCTGCCCCTTTTTTGGTAAATTTATAAAATAAAAAAATATATACATAGGAATTTCCCCACGTAACAGCAAATCAAAACGTGCACTCGTTTCTTTTCTGCCGTTTTTGCCATCAGCTGGTTT